TGCCATCATCTGTGGAGATGAAGATGGACTTGCATTATGTATGAGGAGCTGAGAGCAGTTATTGGCATTGTAGTTAATATGGCTCCAGTATTTTCATAATAACTAAAATAATGTAAAGAAATAATTAAATTGAAGTTAAAAGGGGGAAGAAAACACTGAATTCATGGAAGGATGTTCTTCTAACCCTCTAATGTTTTCCCAGTCTGTTACTAGGCACGTGTTATTTGTTGTATCCTCCACATACAGCAAAATTAGTATATCAGGAAAGTTCTGAAATAGATTTAGGCACGACTGTATTTTGATTTAGACATTATTGGAAATTACGTCAGGTGTATGAAGGTGAGGTATCTTACAGTTCACAAAAAGCCAGCAATTTATCTTGTAGTTTCACTTCCCACCCCTTTTTTTGTGTTTAGGTAATAGACCATTTTCATTGAATTTAATGTGCAGAGGAGATAAACCGATCCTGTTCACTAATTAATTACTTGCTTTTATCACCTTAGAGTATTTTAACTGCATAATCCAGGGATGGAATATAAAATGACTAATTAGTTCAGTGAGGCAGTCTGTGCTGCTGATTTAGTAATGAGGAGTTGGCTCTCTAGTTTTGATTTGCTTTAACTCGTGGAATTCCATTGCAATGCTAGCTAGTACTTTCTCTGCAGATCCTGTGGGGTGTGGAGGGGAAGAGGGGAGGGAGTGTAAGAATGTCCTTAGAGAGAAGGCTTTAGTAGGTTTATGTCTTCACTGACAGATGTGAATCCAGGTGGTAACAGCTCCCAGCACAGAGCTCTACTTCCTCCTTGAACTGGCTGTTGGATTTTTAGCCAAAGTCCTATGACCTCTCTCTTAAAGTTTCAGCAGATTTGACCCATATTGCCATCCCTAGGAGATGTCCTGTTTGTACTTACAGGAACTGCAGGGCAATGCTTAAAAAGGAAATTTCCAAATTACTTGCTAGTTTTTACTTGCTAGTAGCTGGGAGGAAGAAACTTTGTTTCTAGCAGTACTAGGAGCTTATATAATCTTTATGTTAAATAGTGAGAGTCAGCTTCTCTTTTACTAAGGAGCTTACTCTGTCGCAGTTCAGTGTAATATGTGCCCAATTTGTAGAACTTTCACAATGTAAATAAAGAATATTTTCTTGCTTTCTGTGTTAAAGATAAATACTGATTTTATGAAATTACTGCTTTAAGTAGCAAATGCTTTATGAGAAAAAAAAATTCCTAAACAGAGAGACCAATTTTCATAGAATTATCTCTGTGTTTCTTCAGGATGTTGGCTTTAGAGAGCATTAGGGAGAAGGAAGAGAAAGCAAGCAGAATACACTGGTTTTTCAGAGGCAAGAAGACAAATAGACTGTAGTTGATTTTCATGGAGTTTTTTTTGTTTGGGGGGCTGGTGTGCTGGAGTTTTGTTGTCATTATTTTTTGGGGATTTGTTGTTCATGTGTTTGATTTGGTATGGTTTTTAATGTACATGTAGAAAGAGTCATGATTTACTATGAAAACTTAACACTGATGAAATCTTTAATGTTGACATCTCATAGTTAATTTTGGTCATCAGACCTCTGTATTTATATTTTCATGTTTCCCCCAACTCATGTTGTTTATCTTAAAAATGGAGTAGAACTCCACTGTGGATTTCTTATGGAAGGTTAAGAAGTAAAGGGTCTTTATAAACCCCTTAAAATTATTATACTAGAACTCCTATCTGTAGAAAATAGAAATTAATTATAATTATGGAAACTGAAAGAAAATTAATGTCGTAATTTATTATTTTAAAGTAATGGGAGTAATAGTTGCTGTTGCCATTTTTTTGCCAGATTCTGGCTATAAATTCTGTAATAAATCTTGTTGACTGAAAGCATCTTCTGTATTTTTCTCTTATGTCTAGACTGAAAAATAACATCCTTTTTAAGGAAGCTGTCAGACATAATGAAGAACAGTGAAGAATTTATTTGAAAAATACTGAAAAATCTTAACCAAACCCTCAGAATAATAGTAAAAAAAACCCGCCAAAAGCTGAGGTACCCACAGCTTTCAGTGTAACTGTTTAAAAAATGTTTTTAAGTGTGCAAATACATATAAAAATTATCCATAAAATTAAGCAACAAATCACTGAGGATATGAAGCAGATGTAAAATGACAGTGGAAATACTAAGAAGGTAATATAACTTTGTGACATTTATATGCTTGAGGAATGAAATTATCACATCTAAAGTATTTTCTAAGTAAGTAGTAGAGTGAGCATATCATACTCAGGATGTTAGAAGAAGGCAAATTTGCTTATGTCAGAAATAAATACATTAAGTGTGCACAAGACTTTATTAACAGAAATTATGTATTGAAAGTAATACAGAGTATTATAGCATTTAAATGGGAGAGTTTTAGCTAAAATTGGAAAAAGGCATTAATACTGTGAGACTCAAAACATGCAAACATTTGATTTCTTTTTTGAGGTGTTAATTTACATGTATCCTGAACAGAGTGTCACAATTTTTATGAACTTCTACGAATGCCAGTTGATTTTCATGGAAGTGTTTTAGTCAATTTTCAGTAGGGATGAAAAGCTTTTTCTCTAGTTGATTCTGAATGAAAAAGAAAACTCATATATATCTCTATGTACAAAGCTGACAAAAATTATGCAAACTGAATGTAATCTTTGTTTATAAGCACCATACTGTGCATATTATTTACTATCCACTTTCCCAAATAATCAGACTTATGCATGAGGAATAAACCTAAGTCAGCTCAGTATATAGATTTTTCTTCACTTGACTCAATATTTTTAAATGCTAGGTCATACTTCAGGTAGGGGGATGACTGCACTTTCAATTAACTATAAATTTTCTTTGAGATACAACCTCATTACTTTCCACTCCTTATGTGCATCAGTTGCAAAATCTAGACTATAATGAGTAACATGATGAAAAACCTAATTACTGAAGTATAATTGGAACCTAAGTCATAAATTCTTGAAGTTCTTGGTGATACTTTTTACACACTTGAATATAAACAACAACAATTTGATTTTGTTTTGCAGCTCGCTTGCTTTAACCAATATAGCTGTATGTAATGATACTGCATGCTAATATCAAGCTATGTAAAACAGTGCACACTGAGCTGTTTTATGCATTTGTGTGCATCTTCAGCTGGTGCCTGTGAGTTCAGATTTGTTTGTAGTGATCTGTCTTCTTGAATCAAACTTATGACTTCGTTTCTGTCACTCAAGCTCTAGAGCTATTAATGTTTTAGTGGCAGAAAAGCTGTGTGGGTCAAATATGTTAAAATTCTTAAATCAAGTTATGATATTTAGGGTCGTACCTAGGTTCTGTCTACATATTGAATAACATAACCCAGTATCAATATGGATGAGCTGATCAAAGCCAGATGTATGAGCTTCAGCATCCTTAAATATGGCTCAAGACTTTTATTTTGGGTTAAGCGTAGTTCAGTCCTTTGTCATTACCGTGGGTAATGCTGGAAGCTGTTTGCCACTGGTTCAAACCTTTCTGCATTAGCTGTAGAAACAAATTCCTTGGAAAGAAAATTCTGTCACTAGAAAAACAAATTTCGTGCCTATCATGAGCAGAATTCTAAGTTAGTTTCTTCCAAGAGCAATGTAGTTTGCATGCACCAAATTCATCCTTCAAAAACCAATGAATGTGTATTAAGTGCTCAAGGGATTCACTTCAGAACTATATTACAGGTCCAATTCAAAATATCAGTTAATACAGTTTTTCCAGAATATTCATGTAAGCCATTTGTGAGCATATTAGCTATTTAGGTAAGCAAAACCACAGTAAGATTAGTTTAAAAAAATATTTTGTCCATGATGTTCATAATGGTATGGAATTAATCCTCTTGCTTGGCATGTCTCTCCCTTTTTATTACATTACCATGGGAATAAGAATATATATTTTATTATGTTGTATTCTAATAAACTGTGAAACACTGAAATGTAACATACATATAGTATGTTGATAATATATTATTAACATATAGAGAAGTCACAGTAGGTCTTTTATCAGGTATTACTGCATGTCTTCTGATCTAAAAAAAAAAAAATTGAGGTGAAGGGAAGGAGTTGACTTTCTGAGCTTCTCATCCATCACTGAGCCAAAATTTCTTTTCTATGCTGAGTAGCTTTAACTTTTGATAAAAACTCTAACGGGCAGAGGGAAGATGGAGCGGTTTCTCAGGTTTCTCACTGAAACACTTCTTGAACACATTTCAGGATGCTTCTTCAAATTCTGTTTCATTTTACATAGGATCCAGTTCATTAATCTGGGATTTATTTTTGTGGAGGAGTAAATGGAGGGCAGTTGTGGTGGGTTGACTTTGCATGACTGCCAGGCACCCACACAGATGCTTTCTCACTCCCCATCCTCTACAGGATAGGGAAGTAAAATAAGACAGAAACACTTGGAGGTCAAGATAAAGGCAAGGAAATCATCTACCAATTACCAGCATAGCAAAACAGAATGAACTTAGGTAACATGAATTTAATGTATTGCGAATTAGAGTAGAGTTACATGGTGAGAAATAAAAGTCAAAAACTGAAATACTTTTTCCCTTTCCCTTTTTCTGAGGCACTCTTTCATTGTGAAATGCTTCACTTCCTCCCCTGAGGGGTGAATGGGAAATGGAGGTTCTGAACTCGCCATAACAGCTCCTGTCCTTCAGCCTCACATTCCTTCCCTGCTGCACTGTGCCTCTTCTCTGTGGACTGCAGGAAAGTCTCTGCTCAGGCACTTTGAGCATCTCCAGCATCCCCTCTCCTCGCTTTTTCATAGGGTTATTTCTGAGGTTTTTTTCTCCCTTCCCTTACTTCTGTTTCCTCACGACTGCTGTGAAGTGTTTTTTACTCTTTTGTAAATAAGCCTCTGAGAGGTACGACTGTCTTGGCTGAGGGGCTCAGCCAGTTTAAATGACTTCCAATTACTTTCAGATCTGCAAAAATGTGTTGGTTTGGGTTTTCTTTTTTTTCTAATTTAGAGACCTGGCTGCAAGGAACTGCTTGGTAGGTGAAAGCAACATCTTGAAAATAAGTGATTTTGGGATGTCCCGGCAAGAGGATGATGGCGTGTACTCATCATCAGGCCTAAAGCAGATTCCAATCAAGTGGACTGCTCCAGAAGCTCTGAACTATGGTAAGAGTATAACTGGATTTTCTGGAAAAAAGAATAAAAAATCCGAAGTGCAGTAAAGAGCACCAGAGTCCCAATATTCGACTGTATGTACATACAATTCTTTTCCCTCATTCAAATTAATGATGTTTAAAATAATTTTAGTATTTCAGTCTGATTTATGTAAAAAATGCAGTTGTGCTGCTGAAAAACAATAGGGCAGCAACATCAAAATTGCTATTATGCAGGAATAGCAGAGTGCTTTGGCTCTGTTGCTGACTCATTCTTGTAGACAGCCTCGTCAGTCATCTAAATTATGATCGTTAGCAAAATGAATGGCAAGTTCTGCATATTTATAGCCCCTCACTGAAAACAGTAGAAAATGTTAATGTGCTGTAACACTGTGTTAGATAATTCATTGCATTGAATTGAAAGATACAGTCATTGTTTTATTTTCAGGGGGTTTTAACTGCAGTTTTACTTTACCTGCATTTACTTTACCTGCATACCTGTATCACTAGGTTTTTATATTGGGGATAAAAATTCATTATCTATCATGGAGGGAGGTGGTCCACAATACTTGGTTCCAGAATAGAAGCTGAAGCTGCTGCTCTTACCTTTTTTTGCTTATATGAAACTATAAAAATAAGTTCTTCTAGGTAAAGGGGACTGTGGAGAAGCAGCACATTTAACAAATGATGGCATGTTTTGAATGTACTTCTCTAAAGCAGTTCTTTAGTTGAGTACATAGAATAAAATATTTTTGAATTCTTCATCTGAAGTGTCTATAAATATTTCTACCATCTCTTAAATTTAGCCTTTTTTTCAGAAATCATAAGTTTGTGAATTATGATTGATAGCAGAATGCTTCCTCTCGTTAGCACTTTTGCAGCAATTAATGACATAACACAGTAATGCAGATCTTCCCTTTAAAAGGCTGACAGTAAATTCAGTTTAGTAATTGATCCTGTATTACCAGTTACTCTAAGAAGTGTTAGTGTTGCCAACATTCACTGGTGAATGCTTTGTTCTTTTGGGTGTTTGATCCACTATAAAAGGTGGTTTGAGTTTTTATTTTTGTTATTTTGGAAATACATATGGTGTTTTTGATGTATTATGAAAATGTATCTTTATAACCATGTGTGGTCCAGTTGACTGCATTTAGCATTTGTGACCACACCTTCACTTTGTACTGCTGAGTCTGTTTTTTCTGCACAGTGCAGGAGAAGAGGGGATTGTTGATTAACATCAACTTACTTTGTGTTTCCTAAAGCACATACACATTCCAGCAGCTATAGGTCATTGTCTGTAATGTTTGGTAAATAAGCTCCCCCAAACATGTTGATATGTTCAGCCGTCAGTATTCAACTTTCAAAATGTCATGGAAGATTTCTGTGTGTTTTTGAAGGATAGATTTTTCCACTCCCTTGAAAGATGCTAGTAAAACTTACTGGATTATGTTTATAGTTTTCCATTCTAATAATAAGGTTGTAATAATTGCATTGAATTGTGAGGTATGATTGGTGGTTTTTAAGATATCAAAATGAAATAAAATTAAATCTGCGGTATTTCAAAACTAGTTGGTAACCACTGGCCAGGTCAGTCCTGAATATCAAGATTCATGGGTTGGAGGAAAATGAGAAATAGGATCATTTGGCCATTACATGAATGCCAGTGTGATTAAGAAGCTACAAAAAAGTTATTTTTTTTGTCTTTGCTGAAGTCACTGTATATGACAAATTAAGAGTGGTCACTAAATATGTTAATTAAAAAAAAACCCACAAGTTGTGAAGGCTAGAAACCAGGCTAGGGCAAATGTTGTGGTTCTGACACAAATTGTGTCAGAAGTTAGAAGCAAAATTCAGATGCCACTGGAGTTTTTGAGAAATGGAAGCTTTGGTTCTGTGGGTGCTGTTCAGAGCCATTCTACATTGCCTTCCCATTATTGGGAAGGCAAACCCCATTACTCCAAACAGCTCCCCTGTCCTCCTTGGTCCCCCCACCTCATACACTGAGCCTGATGTCACATGCTCTGGAATCTTGCTTTGGTATGTTTGGGATCGCTTGTCCTGGCTGTGTTCCTCCCAAGGACCCCCAGCTTCCTCCCCAGCATGGCAGTGGGAAAAGCAGGGAAGGCCTTATAACAAAACCATCACTGAGTTATCAACCCTGAGTTCAGCACAAATCTAAAACAGAGCCTTTTACCTGGCACTGTGAATAGAATTAATCCTACCCCACCAAAATTGGCACATATTTAGGATGATTATGGGGTATTTTTGCTTCCTGATCTTTGAAAACTAAAATCCATTTAATATGTATGTTTTCTCCCTAAAATATTTTGAGTTATTTGTGATGTTAGTAGTAATGTGGGGAGGACTTGGGGTTTTTTCCTAAACAGATCTTTTTTTCCCCTCAGATAATGTAATAGCATAAAATATAATTACTGTACAGAACTTGTACTTTTTGTAAAAAAAGCCTAAAAACCAGCTAATCACCTATCTTGTATTAGCTGAATGCTTCCAGTGAAAAGTGTTAAATTACTGGATGCCCAGCTGTGGGAAGTTGATACACAGAGAAGAAAACTATTCTTACTCCAAAGACCATAGTGAATATCCATAATTGCCAACCATGAGGCACACAAGCTAACATAGGACAGCTTGAAGTGATATTTAGTCTAAGAGTAAACTGAGATTTCTGACATCAGAAGGTGTCACTGTCATCAACTGTCACTGTAATTTACATGTATTTTCATTTTTTTCCTAGTCAGAAGTGGCTTAGTTTGGCTTGTTTGATGATTAGAGATAAACAAGCAATACATTCACAAGTGTTGTTTTTAAGAATAAAGATATGTAAATACAAAGTAATAGTACACAACAAAGAAGAACAGTCATGAAAAATGTTGAAAATGATGTTGAAAATGGATTTTTAAGGTAACATTTTCACTGATTCTGCTGCAAAAGGCTGGGAGTCTTAATTTTCTAATGAGAATCCATCAGGGACAATAGAAATATCTGCTCCAAAATGTCTCCCTGTATAGAAAGCTACAATTCCACAAAGAGGCTTGGAATTCAGTTATCTATCAATTATCTGTTTTGCTATCTCTGAAACATAATTGGAGGCAATTGAGCCAGCAGGCCTGATTTTTTTTTTCCTTAAACTCATTGGGTGTGTCAGTTTTGCAGCAGCCAGCCTTACTTTGATTTTCAGAGATCAGTTTCTCAAAGCATAAGAACCAGGCCTTCTTCACACTTAGAAGCAGTGTTGGTGGTAGCTCCTCTCAGGATAAACACCACCATGCTAAAATGGAGAACTAGAAAAGGTAACTTTTTAAAGAATATTTGGAATTGAAAGCAGTTGTAAATGAGTAGGAAAACTCTAACTTTTTTTTGTCTTTTTATATTAAAAGAAAAATATTTTTGTACGTTAAGAAGGAAAGAAATTCTTAACTTGCTTGACAAACTGGAGTTGTATACTGTGTAGAACTTAAAGTTAGCTTATGTTACTCCAGAGTTTTTGCTTTAATATAATTTGTTCATTCTTTGAAATAATGGAGACTGTGAAATCTGTAGAATGTTTTATTAGTAGCTACAGCTTTGTTTTGCTTGGAGATTGCCAGTGTAACACTTCTACCTTTACAGGAAATTTGGGCCATAATTATCTGAAATACCAATTTCTCTGTATGTTAAATTCAAGGTTTGCTTTCCTTTTTTTAGGGAGATACACATCTGAGAGTGATGTATGGAGCTTTGGAATCCTTCTGTGGGAGACCTTCAGTTTAGGAGTGTGCCCATACCCTGGAATGACCAACCAACAAGCAAGAGAACAAGTTGAGAAAGGTAATTATTCCTTGAAAGTGAAACAAATGCTGGATAAATGGTAAGGATTCAGCGTAAAATAGCCAAGAAATAACATACAAGTTTTGTAGCAACTTTAGCAAAAACAGTATGAGGTTTCCTAAACTGCTGACCAACTCTCTGGGAGGAGTAGGGTGATATAGGCCTTTTGGAAAAAAAGGAATACACTGACCAGTAACTTAAACGTTGGAAGACTTACAGCATGCTGACTTTCATTATTGCAGAACTAACAGGTGAGATGGAAAGGAGGGATTTACTGCTGTGCAAAGCAGAAGCTTGAACAGAATGAAATATTTAAGATTATGCTAATGCAGGTATAAATATTCTAGACTGCCAGGAAAAAATCTCTGTCATTCCATCTTCTTTATTAAATAATTTCACAGAAAGATTTAACAATTCTGGTGGAGAATGGTAAGCTAGTTGAGCATTGCAAACTGCATTTCTCTTTTGCTAAATAATCAAAAGGTTAAAATAGCAAATAACTGTGAGTAGGAGTTCAGGATTTTGATTTATTTTCATTGTTTTTAGTGGCATTTCAGAAGTGTTCCTTCCTTACATAATACTACTGTAAAATTTATAAATATGTTCTAAGCTAGTAAAACTTCCAAATTATTTAAAACAAAAACAAACTGCAAACAAACAAAAAACCTCTGGTTTGCTGATTTACACACATTGTCAGTGTTTGTTATAGTTTTATAATCACTGTAGGTGATAATAAAGTTTCTCCTTAAAGGCCAAATCCAATCCTGGCGCCTGAGCCATATTTGTCTGATAATTTGTGGAATCACAGACTCAAAGAATGGCTGAGGTGTGCAGGGAGCTCTGAATATTGTCTGGTCCAACCACCCAGCTCAGCAGGATCACATCCGGATGACTTTTGCATATCTCTGTGAATGTGATTGTCTTTGGACAATCTGTACTCAGTCACCCGCACAGGGAAAAAGTGTTTCTTGATACTCAGGAGGAATTTCCCATGTTTCAGTGTGTGCTCATCACCTCCATGGCCTGTCACGGAGGTGGAACAGGCATGGAAAGAGCCTGGACCCACCTTCTTTGCACCCTCCCTGCAGGTGTTCATATACATTGCTGAGATCCCCTGAGCTTTCTCCTCTCCAGGATGAGCTAGCTGCTCCAGCTCACTCAGCATTTCCTCATAGGAGAGAGAGATGTTTCAGTGCCTCCATCACCTTGGTGATCCTTCATGAGATTCTCTCCATTGTGCCTGTGTCTGCCTTGTACTGGGGAGCCCAGTACTGGACCCAGAACTCTAGGTGTGGCCTCAGCCACTACTGAACAGGTTGGGCAGATGATTTCTCTCAACCTGCTTCAGCGCTCCTTCTAGTGCAGCCCAGTGTGCCATTAGCATTCTTTGCTGGAAGAGCTCGTGCTGGTGTCCAGCAGGACCCCCAGGGCCTTTCCTGACAAACCGCTTCCCATGGGGCATTCCCTGCCCGTGCTGGTGCCTGGGGCTGTTCCCAGTTGTAGCACTTGGCTCTTCCCATTCTTGAGGCTCCTGTCAGCCCCTTTCTCCAGGGGCTCCTGGCCCTAACCTCCTGCCTTTCTCCAGCCTGTCCCTGTGCACAGCACCACCACCCTGTAGTGTATCAGACCCCCTCACGGCTTGGTGCCACCAGCAAGGGGGACACTGCCATGTCACCATCGCTGAGGGGGCGCCTGCCCCTCACTCCCAGCCTTAATGAAGGTGCAACACAGGACTGGACCCTGGAGCTCCACTCAGACTTCGAACCACTCATCCCCGCCCTTCAGGGCTCACTGTTCAGCCTGTTTTCAATCCACCTCCCTGTCCTGTCTCTAGCCCATAAATTCAGAGGTGTCTTTGTGGAATTTTACAGTGAAATCCCCTCATGTATCAGGCCACTCATCGCATTGAAGAAGTTTCTCACATTGGTCAAGCATGACTTGCTCTTAGTGAATCCATGCTGACTTTCTGCATGCTTACACCTGATGACTTCCCTGTACTGCCTGGAAATTGCTTCCAGCATTAGGTGCTCCATCACCTTCTGGGATCAATGTGATGCTGACCAGCCTGCAGTTCCTTGGGTGCTCTGACTTGAAGATAGGAGTGGCATTTGCTTTACTTGTCTTCAGGTACTCCTCCCTGTAGTTGAAGTGATGTATGAAAGATGATTTGGAATGGTGTGGCAGTGACATCAGGCTGTTCTCTCAGCACTCAGGGGTGCTTCAGAGCCCCTGGACTTTACTAAATCTGGTGTGCTTAAGTATTCTCTGATCAGGTCCTCTTCCATCAAGGGCACATCTTCTTTGTTCCAGCCTTTGTCACTGATCCCTGGAGTTTGGGATTCCTGGAGGCTGGTCTTGCTAGTAGAGGCTGAGATGAAGAAAGTGTTGAGTACCTCAGCTTGTCCCTGTCCTGTGTTGCTGAGTTGATCAGTGCCTCTTTCAGCAATGGGCACACATTTTTTCAAGCCTTTTGTCCCCTGCATAGTGAGAGGAACTCTGCTTGTTGTTCATCCCTGGAGGCTCAGGCAGTGTTTTAGTATTCCTGCCATTACCTGATTTTGTGTTTGATTTTGTCCAGGAGCTCCTTGTCCATACATACAATCCTCCTGGCATTTTTCCCAACTTCTACTCATTGAGAAATTGTCTTCACTGCTGTGAGTACACCTCTGTGGTCCAGGCTATTGATGATAAGCCTGAATAGCCACTTACCTGCGACTTTTGAATGATTAGCTGCTAATTTACTTTACTGATTGTCCATTCTCCTGCTCATTGTCAAGAGAACTGCTTGGCTGATGGCAGCAGAGAAGTGTGGAAGCCACTGCCTGTTTAAGCAGACCAGAAGAGAAAGAGATTTGAGATAAGATGGAAAGATCCAAAAGTCAAGAAAACAGAGGGAGGAAAAATTAGTTACTGAAGTGCAGGTGGGGAAGAACTTCCTTAAGGAGACAAAAAAGGGAAGAAATGTGAGAATAAAAGTGGATACATCTTCAAAAAGAGCAAATACATTTACTCGCATCTTCATGTTTATTATCAGTTTCCTCACTGCAGTGAAGTAAGGAAATACAACTGAAAACCAGAGGGTAGCTGCTTCCTAAGATACAAGAAAGAAATCTGTGTGAGTTGCTGCTCTTAGGAATGGGCAGCATCACAACTTGATGGTGCTGGTACTGGTACTGAATTTTAATTAGTTTCATAATTATCTGTCATGTATAGGATAGTATTTAAGATGTTCCTCATATTGCCTTGAAGGTCTATATAATATATTTGAACTTTGCTCTTATCTTTTTAGATTTGTCGATAAGCATCTGTTTTCAGCACTAAAAGTTTTCTCCACTTTTTCTGTGTAACAGGCTACCGAATGTCTGCACCACAAAAATGTCCAGAAGAAATATATAAAATAATGCAGAGATGCTGGGACTACAAGCCAGAAAACCGGCCAAAATTCAGTGAGATTCAGAAAGAGCTGTCTTCAATCAAAAAGAAAGTGACATAGTGATGAAGAAGTGCCAAACTCAATGTCTGGGACTTTATTTTCCAGTGAAGTAATTGTTTCCCTCAAACACTATGCATTTATATACCATTATTTGCAATATTCTTCTAGGATTACTTTGAAATTAACTGGTGTACCATCTTGAATGGTGCCTACACCTGCATTAAAGATATATACTGCGAAATGCTATATATCTAGTCACAGTAGTACTGTAATTTAGGTTACATGTACATAGGAAAGCACATACTATAAATTTAAGGGACTGTGGCTTTTTTCTGTTTTACAGCAAATAAATGCTAGTGACATTTTCAGAAGTATTCTACTTTAAGCTGTGCTCCCACTCTGCTATCCCTGTCCTGTATGTCAGCATATTAATGTGGGGATTGTCATACATGTTGGCCTTAAAACTCAAGACAGTTTTGACAAGTATTTCAACTAGAAGCTTTTTTTTAAATTCTTTCTACATCTAATATATTTAGGTGATACTTGGTTTGAAGCATGAAGCTCGGTTAGATTCTGGATGCAAACATGCTTACCAAATGGAAAAAAATCCAGAATTTTTGGTAGTTGAATTACTTGTGCATTTGTTACCATACAGTAGAAATACTTCTGACTTTTTATGTGATCTATTTAAATAATGCCTTTTTTCTCCTTCAGTGCCATCAGAATTCAGTAGCATGTTTCTTTTATGGTGACCTATGTTTATTTTAGGAAAAAAAAGACCAATATAAAGTATATTTCTTAGCACATGTTAAGAAATACTGCAAACTATCTGCCTTCCAAAAAATATGTGAAATTACTAGGCCAAGAAAAAGAGGTTTATTTATGATAGCAGCAGATGACAAATATAATTGATCTTAGAGGCACTAAAAAAATATGCTGCTAGATTTGCTTTTGACCCTGATTTTTTCCCTTAAATTGGTAGAAATTCTCAGAACCCAGCTGGAGCATGCAAAAGTTTATTCTGAACAAAAGAGCATTTCATGCATAGTGTCCAAAGGAAAATACTACTTCTGTATGGCATGAGGAAGTTGTGCAAACAACCAAAAGGAAAGAAGTATGTTTAAAGCCTCTGACAGGGAACAGCAGAGTAGAAATACTAACCTTCTATTTTTCTTACATTATTGCAATCAAATATCAAAAGACTGGGGATAAACAAGGTTTAAATGCACCAAGAATATAAACCTTGTGTTTGTATATATATACATATAAAATATATATTAAAAAAAAAGCCAGAAAGAATAAAACCTTACTAGATAGTGGAGGGAGGAAGTGCACCATTTGTTACTTTGACTCTGGGTCCTCTTTGCAGCTGGAATTGTTTTCTAGGGCTCCGAATAAAAATAGGAACAAGTTACTGTGTCCCTGTCTGAATTCCAGCATTAAGGTGCTTAAAATACTTCTAGGAATTTACTGAAATATTCAGATCAAGGGATACTAGTTGCTGCTAATGCAAGTAAGAAACAGGGATTGTAAGTAACACAGCATCTGGAATGTTAATTAGCCTTATATTTTAGTGTTACGGTGGGAATGAGATGTAGTGAAGTCAGTGGCTACATTACATTTTTATTTCTGTTAGGGTGGCTTTTCTATTGTCCACATCATCTTTTGCTCTCTAAAGTATATTTACAGTAGTGCTGAGTGGTGGTTTAGGGCTATATGTGACCAAAATATGTGTAGGCTAGAAGAATTTGTCTGTTACATAGGAATCCGTGTCCAGCTACAACAGTGAATGGTTGTGTGGGATCACATCACCTGCATTTGAGGTGGTACTGTCAGTATCCAGCTGTAAGGAATGGTAAGTGCTTCTTGCATTTTGTTAAGTGATTTTTTTTCTTGGAGATAAGGAAGCATTTATATACACATACCCATTAAAGTGTAGTGCTTGGAAAACTTGGTGGCTTAAATTAAAACTTCATTGTAAGTGTACTGGATATATTTACTTAGTTCTGTACTTCAAGTAGCCCAGAGATATTTTTCAAGAGCAGTAGGAAACGTTCTTGTTAGCTTGTATGCTTCTAAGTAGTACACAGAGTCTGTGCCTTAATTTGCTAGTATGCTAATGCAAGTGCAAGTGTACTAAGATCTAAGAGATGTTTCACAATCACTTGGGAAAACCCATCCAACAGCGTTTCCTTACATATGCATCCCTGAAGTCTGCAAGTAAGGATGACAGTGTCAGCATTCATAGCTTTTCTGGAGAGTTAATATTCTTTTATTAGAGAGATGGACTGTTTCTTTGCCATGTGCCCTCTTGACAGCAAGAAATACTGCTTCAACCAGATAAAATGAAATACTGTTTTATTCGTCATAAATTAACCAGTCACCATTCTGACTCTCATAGAAGGATAAAAACAGTACTAACATTTTATTCTGGAATTGTTAACCTCCATACATATGTATCACATTTCTGTTTAAATTTGAAGTCTTTTTAAAACAGAGAATTTCTACAGCATTGGAAAAATTTGTTACTGTTATTGAAGTAGGCACCAGTTCAGTTCAAAACTAGTAATACTTGGGGAGAATACCAGAATGGCTTTGTAAATATAGAATAAATTTCAACACAGGTACATGTCTTTTCAATTATTTAAACTTTTTGTAGCATTCATTTAACAGTTTGTGGCAGAATTTATTTGTCATGTCTGACTTGTAAGTGTTGAAACTATTCAATTTAGGAAGTGGACTCCATACCTATAGCTACTGTAGGCTTCTCACAGGAGCATTCACAACCAAGCCTGCCATGCCATGAAAATTAAAAGAAAGACATGGCACTGAAGAAGCAAAGCTGCAATATCTTCTCAATATGGCCTTTTGATGACTTAATCTTGCCAGGTTAATATTACCAGGTTAGCCAGGTCATTTGGCTCATGTACTGTGTTTAGGGAAGTTAAAAAGAGAATTTACAAAGAAGTTAAGCTTCAGCCTCTTTGGCAAGCATGGATTTCAGGTTAGGTTGTTACACTGGCATTGTCACAACCAGAGGGACCCCGAGAGAATCCTGAATTATTTTGTGTTGTTAAATGTAGGAAACTCTAAATACTGTTATCCTCAGCTTGTAATGTGAGAGGGATTTCAACAGGTTTTCTCTTATTTTCATGGTTTTCCTAGCAATTGCATTCATTGTTTTAAGAAAATTGCTTTGACAGCAAGAAGTGCATCCTTAGTTTGTTTTTAGTAGAAAATTAGTGCATATTTTCTTCCAAGTCCAGTCCTCAGTGAAGTCATAAGTTTTTCTCAGCTTCTTTATTTTATGAAAAGTAAAATAGGGAAAGTATCTTGTCTGGAAACAAACCTTGGTTCAGCAAAGGGTGGTAATGTAGTGTTAGCATCCCACAAAGGCATTAACTTTGAAATTAGTTCTTTGAAATTAGTGCATTTTCATTAGTTCTGTAAAAAAACAATGAACAAGCTTTTTGTTTATCAGCTACAGTTATATTGCATTTCTTCTTAACAAAAATATACCCTTTTGCAGAATTGCTTAAAACTTTTTTGGAAATTGTTATTGGGAAGTGCATCACCAGAAGGCCATCAGTGAGAACTGTAGCTGGTAAAGCCCATTCTCACTGACAGGAAAGAGAAAACTGGTTAAGGAAATATTAGGTTATTCATACTCAAGTATTTTTTCATTAATGTCTTTGACCACCTGTTATGCTTACTTAAATACAAGCGCATGATTAAACTTGACTATGAAGTTACCTATTTGTTATCTCTTTATAACTGTTTTGTTACCCCTTTTGCACTCATTGTAAAGGTAATAAAAAAATCAAAAAAGAAGAAAAATCCTCCACATTTTTCTGAGGTTACAGTGTAACGAAGGCTCAGAAGTATTTACAAATGTCTCCCCTCCAGTTTTCTCAGATGTGCTACTGCACAAATATTAACAACAGTGATGAAATACTAGCCCTGTTTCCAGTATTCTTGCTGTTATATCCTCTAAATGTCAGTGCTACTCACAGACTTAAGGGAGTGCAATATTTGAAGACCTAAGCTAGTGTGTAGATAGTGTCATCAAACATGGTATTCAGCAGTTCTGAGAATAATTGATTGTCACAAATAATAAATCATTATAAAGATTAAATAAAGAGAAAGAAGCTGAGAGAGTCCACTTTCTGTAACAGCTGTCCTCTTTTTAGGCACTAGAAATATTTGTTTGTGCCAGTGCTCTTGGATTTGTAACATTTTTATGGCTAAGCATAAAATAGTTTGCTATTAAAGGAAGAGTTTGCCAATTAATGTTTTCTTCTTGTAAAGCACAAAAGGACTTCAGATATTGTTGGAAGCTTTCTTCCTAGGCTAGTCAGGCTACCAATGAAGCAATGCATTTTTTTCCTCTTAGAGTGGTTTTCATGCAGTCCTTCACTTCTAGTAATTAGTAATACAGGACCTCAATTAGTAATCAAAAGGTGCATGGCAAGCACAGGGCAAGTCCAGTATTCCTGAAGTTCCAAACAACCATGAGTTTTTAAGAGATCTGATAATTTGAAATATCAGCTCTATTGAAAATGTTTTCTTTTACTCCCCTTTTGCAGATTTACTGAAAAAAATAAAAAAGCAGTCCTTAATAACCAGCAACAACTTACTAGGAAAGTTAATCAACCTCAGGAGCCTATCAAGTTTTTCTAAGAGTAACTATTCCTTGGGGTAGCTTCCCATTATAAACACATAAAGTTTAAACGTGGAAAGCTTCTTCAAATGGAAGAATCCATTCACACGTCACATTATGAAAAGTCAAGTATTACTACCATTTATTTCCTCAAAGTGGTACTGAACTGTTATATCCAGCTCCTATATGAATTGCAGAGTTGCCTTTTAGTATGTTATTAATACCAACTTTACTTTGCTGAGACTTGAAATTTCAAACAAGGGAAGATTCTCTCATTGAAAATTCCAGCAAGATCTGCCTGTAGCTCCAACATTTTTGCGTATTTTCACATCCAGTTATCAGAGTCATTGTGTTCATTGTAATAAGTACCATATAGAACAGGGCTGGAAGCCCCTGACTTTAAACTTTCAGAGTTTGGACCCTAGAATCCACCTTGATTTCACTTCTCTGCCAAATAAGCAAAAGAAATATCTGTTTTTCAGCCTTAGTACTACTCTATAAAACAGAAAGTTTCAGAGGTGTATTTACTATTCTCTCCCAGGGAATGCTACCTCCACCAACAACCCTAAGTTACCATTATTTCCCCTTCTCTTTGATATAAAATTTCAGCTGAAATATATGTCCAAGTATAGAACTTGGGTGTTAACTCAGATTTATTTTCAGGCAGTTGTATATTATTGGCTATTTCAGACTGCCATTTTCTCAGACATCATATAGGCAGGACTTAAATTAGAAGTTTCAGATGGTTTATTTGGGGGTGGGGGTGTGAGCTAAACAACTAATCAGTTCAGTAGGTAAATGGTTGTTTTGTAGGTGTTTGAGATTGTAGCTGTGGAAGGGTGGTGCATTTAAAGATCTCAGATCCATATGCCTTCTTCAAACAAAAAAATTCTAGGCATATTTAGAAAAAAATGATAAATAAAACCCTTAAATCTAGTTGACTGAGGTAATGAATTGAAAACATAGAAGAGCCATGAACTAGATTCTTTCTTCCTCTGTCTCACAGAGTGGAACACCTTGTAAATACAACTTAATTGATTTATTGTTTACTGATAAATACAGCCTCTGAATCAGTACAGTAACATAGGATTCACACTGAGCAGAGAACACTTGGAAGGATCCTGAATTGCTACTATTTGGATCTGTTGTCTAGTTTTAGAAACACAAATGTTTATAGATAACTACTTAAGTTTTGTGAATACAGTAAGTAAGCCAGCCCTTGAAACTCTTCATCAATATAAGGCAATTAGACTTCTTAAAACAAAAATCAGAACAGTGATTCCCTTTGCATTACAGATATTGAAAGTATGTGCCAGCACTTTCCATTACTAAAAAAAAGATGCGCTGTACTCTTTTCAGTCAGCTCAGTCTTTCTCAACATATGAAGAATTCCTTTGCTGTTACATGCAAGTAATAATGCAGAATTCTTGGATAACTGATACATAACCAATTGACTCTGATCTGTTGCCTCAATTCTCAAAGAATCTTTCTGCTCTCTAATGAGGGTTGCAGCAATCTTACACTTCCAGCTGAGCTCTGCTGTAATAATCTTTACTGTTGCATCTCTCAAATGTTTCCTAATTCTGAAGGCTCCATGTATCACAGATGGCACTCTTTCACTTATCAAATGAAATTATTCTGGTGACAGAAAAGTCCAAATACACTCCTGCTGTTGTTTAATTAAGAAGTAATGTGGTGATGTTAAACTTTAAAACCTGGGGCAGTGGGTTTGTATGAAAATGGAAGTAACCATGAATCAAGGTAAAACATATTGTTCAAATCACATTTTTAATGAAATTGCAGACCCTAGCTATATTACAAATTGTCCACATCATAAGATACATCAGAGAAACAACATTTGTTACTGTCTGGTTTACAATACTGAACATCCTGCTCCACACAGGGAGAATTAAAGAGCTAAATATGCTCCTTGACATTTTGCTGTGGCTAGATTGGAACAGCGTCTTCCAAATCAACAGCAATTACTTAATTCCACCTCAGCCTTATTGTGAACTTCCTTCTTCTTAAACAGACCTTTCAGACAGTGTTAATTTTCACAATTTTGCTTTCAGGAATTTGAATTCATTATGTCATACAACATTTATTTACAGAAATAATTGTACAGCCCCACCACTATTAAGTGCTGAACTCTGCAATTCCAGGAGATAAGCATTATTGTTGTGTACAGGGAACTGCTCTTGCACTGGTTTTCAGTTGAAATGTCTGTTTACATGTCTGTTTCCAGTGTTAATTGTACCATTACCTGTAAATCACAAGTTAATTTGTTTTTTTTAGAAAGCTTCCCACCTAGTTTTCACTAAAATGCTGAAAACATGTAATACGAAAAAACTCCATGATACAGGTTCATCACACAGGACACATAAGGCAGGCAGACTCCTACAGAGAAACACTGAGGAGTGAAAGCCAGCATTAAACACCTGCCTTGTACCTTCTGTTAAAGGACTTCCAGGGATGAAACTGGGGCTGGGGTTGTAGGACTGCTGATTTTGAAATTGCATGTGTTGCTTTTCCTTTGTGTAACTGTTGGCAGCTGGAGACAGAACAGGGGTGTTAGAGAAGGAGGGAAATTCACATCACTGGCTTGCCATCGCAAGCCAGACTTTTGTCACCGGTAGCCTTGAGTGGACACAGATGCCATTTGCAGATCTCTTTAGGTATCCAGTTCTCAATTTTGTGCCAAAATACGCACCAGCAATATCAGGTAAAGCACCTTTTATGCTCTTTGTTGTTTAAAAATAATATATTTGTGAAACAGATCGATAATACATAACACTGGAAATGGGTCCTTCTTCCCTAAAGTACATGTAAAATAAAATTAAAAAAAAAAAGAAACAACATTTGTGAATTTATCTGGCTTTTAATCAAGTCTGAAAATTATAACTATGTTTTACAGTTGTCAGTTGTCGGTCCTTTATAATTTTAAATAGATCTGCATTTTAACTTTATTTATTTGCCAATTTTTATATACTTAAAGTTACACTTTAGAACTCAAGCTAACTTTTTATTTTCCTAGGCTGTTATGTAAGAGATTTTCAGTCTTCTTGTAAACTGCAGACCTTTTTTGAATAGTCCTTTGTCTTCTCCTTTGGACCACTTACCACTAATGAGTCTGCAGTCCCCGTTTAACTGTACTCTTCCAATAAATGTAAAATATTTGTATCAAGCAGTCTCATTTTATTTGATATTTACAAGTTGTGTTTCTTCATTTGCCTCTGTAATCAAGTGGAAGACCAATTCTAGTAACATTGCTTTTGGGAATAGACACAATTCAAAATACTCTGTTTCACACAGTGGGGGGAGACCCAATTGGATTTGATTTTTTTTTGAAATTTCTGGAGATAATCTTTCTGTATGATCCTCACTCACAGTTTTGCATTACTTTTGTTTACCTTTTGCATATCAGAAATTGAAGCAAGAAGTAACCTAGAGGACAGAAGGGAAAGGAGATGTTGAAATGGGCTGAGAACTTTGTTATGAGAACATTATTATGCCTTAAAAAATACAAACATATTTTGAGATCCTGTGGGTACCATAAAGTATGAATACCCCTATATGAAGAACTTCTTCCACTGCCTAATGCTCCCTGCAAATGCACCTTGTTTGAAGACCCAAAACCAGGCAGAAGGATGTGATTTTAGGTACCTGCGCCTTAAATGGTGTTGTTAAGCACTCTGCACACTGGCAGAGCCCTATGATCAGTGCCTGACTGAGGAAGGAGTTTGTAACATGTAAGGCAATTTACAGCTCTGGTTCCTAAGTGGGACTGAGGTACCTGGGATTTGTGCCATTTTTTTTTTTTTTCTGATAGAATACAGTTTTAAATAAATACATAAATAAATACAGTTAAATGCATAAATAAATACAGTTTTAAAAACCTTTGAGGTGTTTTTCCCCACCATCTCCCAGTAATCATGAATGGATAATGTGTAAGTCAAGAGCTCGTCCACTGAATTTCCCCAGTGTGTGTTGGAACAGAAGACAGCACAGCATGGGGTTGCACACAGGTCTGGTACAATTCTGCTGAGACTAATTTATTAGCAGGATTGTTTTAGAAAAAGTTACTGAAGTTATTGCAGCCAAATCTGTTTTTCTCAGTGATGCCTGGCCTCCAAATAATAGAAGTATGTTGTTTGAAAATCTGTGACTGCCCCAAACACTGAGCAGCACAGGGTGGTGATAGATTTCCTCATTTGAAGTGCCACTGCAGTGAAGTAGAAATGAGGCTGAAGAAAGGAGCCTTGAAGGAGATCAGGGCCTTTGAACAGTCCTACAGTTTTGCCAGTTTAGAAGTACAGTTAAAAGATTGGCTGTTGAAAAGATTTAGTTGATTAAGACTTCTCACAAGATCCCAAAGGACACTGGTGCACAAGGACTGCTTTAAATGGCAGATCATAGCATTTCCCTATTCTTGAGATGGTGAATTTAGCCATGCAGGTACCTCTTATCCTAATAAACCTCATGGCCTGCAGTAAGAAAATGCTCCAAGGTGGATACTCCCCAATTCCCAGGTGACCATAGCACCTTATTTTGTATTTCAGTTCAAGTTCTTCACTTGGGACTTTTTATGTCTTGCTGACTTGTGAGCCCTAATGTTGCTGGTACTGTGCAGCTGGCAAAACTGCACACAGAGGACATTTGGACACAGAAGGTTTGATCCTGGGTAGCAGTTCTGTTTTGGGGTTCTTTTTCCAGACAGCCAGCATTTGCATGTCAAAGCTGGATCTGTTCTTTTTCTCCCTTTTACATCCAAATACTGTCCATGCAGAAGTGTTTTGATACTTGGGTTAAAATCCTCTCTTGATGTTTGGCAGAAATAACATTTTTGTTAAATGAAGGAGAGATCAATCTTGCTCAGAGACACAGAAGAGGCTCACATCTGAAGACTCCAAGTAGAAGAATGTGCCTGCCTTCAGCCTGGTGATGAACGGAATTTGTGCAAAATCAGAGATGGAGAGAGTTGTTTTGGGGAGTGAGTTTTTTTCAGCATATTCAATTTAGAGGCACACTAGGTTTGCTGACTTCTGTAAATGTTCTCCTAGATCCCTGTGTTTCCACCAGCTCCACACTCTGGAAGCTTAACTTAGCTGAGGACCATAGAGAGATCAAAAGCCAAGTATTGCTATATTTAAGATTTTTGGTAGATCTACCCCCTAAAAATAAGTCTGAAGAAATCTGCAATAAGATGCACTTACTCAGTGTGGAGCTCAAGGGCCATTACAGATCACTGAGTAGGAACTTTCACCAGGGCCAGAATTTTCTGATAAGCTCCTGATACGAAAATTGTTTAAATTTAAGGATTATTAAATTAAAGGATTGTCTCATCACACACTGCAGCTACTGTTCAATCTTCCTTGAACTCCTGTTCCAGCCATTAGAAAATGCAAAAATGCAGTAACCTCACTGATAATGGTCTTGATTACAGCTGGACAGTTTACACCTAAAGGGACATGATACAGATAACCACAGAAAATACACAAGCCAATGACACATGCACATAGCTCTAACCCTGCAACACACAGAGGTCTTTGATATAATTTCATCAGTATTCTTCTCCTCATCCATCACCCTCCATTCCTTGCAGGTCTACTACACTAAAGGCACTGCTGCTAAACTGTGTGCAGAAATGCATCAGGACTAAAGAAATAGCTCTGTCTTGAGAATACAGAATAATGAGGCACTGTGCTCTCTCTATTTTTCTAATAACTAAGCTCCCGTAGCTTTCAATGACCTAATCTGCTGGAAAAAGAAGTCAAGAGAGAGAAAAATCAAGCTACTAACTAGCTTAGAATCTTCAAAAGAATCCTCAAAGGAACAGGCTGCCATTTGACCAGGCTGTAATGGGAAGAAGCATGTATCTTCAAGAGACATTTCCAACTCAAGATGGATTAATTCTCTGACAGCTGAAAAAAAAAAAGAGATTGCATTAGAAACACCTGGAGTATATTGAAATATTTTTCTACTCTCTATCTTAAAAGCTTGCACTGCCAAGTGCAATTCACTAAAGAGAAAGTACAGAGAAGGGTTAGTAGGATAATCCAGTTGCTGAAATTTAGTCTGCAGTCAGTAGCTATGAAAGCCCATCCTGTTAACATTAAGACATGGAGGTCACAGCCCCTGTAAAGTCAGACAAACACATACCAAGCCCTTACCCCCAAGGGTCATAAAGACCTTCACTCAACTAAACCTACAGCCCTGTACATTCAAAAATCTTTTCCACTGCTCTATTGCCCTGAGTCTGAAACGAAAAGAATGCAGTGACCTAGATCTTGCTAAATATAATTAGAGAACCTTGAAATATGAAGGAGCTAGACAGCACCATTTCTCTCACAGCTGTGGACCCAGAGGGTCAGGTGTCTAAAGTCTGAGCCTGAACAGGGGTCATTTTTGTGCTATGTGTCTGATTTTCAGAGAGATACCTTGACTTTCTGTCTTTCTCCAATACTTCAGGTGGACCAGGCCCTGGGGCTTTGTCAAGCCCTGTGAACCTTAGGATAGGATGCAGGTTTTTTTCCTTTTTATCGTTCTGTTTTGGTGGTTTTTTTTTTTTTTTTTTGGTTTTTTTTTTTAATACAGCAACAATATTTAAGCAGGAAAACTATGGAAAAAGCCCTTCCGAGTCCTTTTGCACTCCCAGCTGGTCGCTGCTGGGGTGGTATGAGAGGCAGGAAAGCCCTTGCCTTAGTGCCCCAGGGCTTTACTGCTCAGCAATAACTAAAACATCCTTGTGTTATCAACACTGTTTTCACCACAAACACAAAACACAGCTATTGAGAAGAAAATTATCTCTATTCCGGCCAAACCAGCACAAGAGAGCACATGGAGAAATTTTAGGTCTGAGGGAGTGTTCATGCATCTCCTCAGGGTGCAGCTCACAGCAGCAGTCACACTTCATACTCCAACCCCACGAGTCTGAAAGTGTCTCTTGTGAAAGAGCTGCAGATGTGCTGGTTTAAAGCAGCCGGTGGTCAGGGCCGTTCCTAGGGCAGGGTGGAGGGATAAAATAAAATAAGCAACATAAGCACCCTGTAGGTGTTTTCATCAGTCCCCAGAGTATCTCCTCCAGCCCCATGAAGTCTGTATTTTCACAACAGGGAGGAGCAGAGAGAAAAGTCCTTATCCAGCACTTGTGACCTTGGCTTTTAGGGCTGCAGGGAAAGGCCTTGAAACAAAGTAGATTGCCTCCCTGCAGACCCAGTTCTGGCTCTAGCTACTGAACTGGGGAAATGTCCATTTTGAGGCTCACAGATGTGCTGAATCCAGAAATGTGTGGGAGACACTTAGCTAAGCATGGAGGTGGCACCAGATATTCCCCCCAAGGGGCTCAATCTGCCCCTTAAAAACTGGTGTCTATGCCAACAGCTGTCTTGGACCTTGGCAGCTCCAGCATCCTGCATCCTTGCACAGCCCTGTCCCTCCTCTGAGCTGAGAATACCACCTAAAGCAGTTCCTGAAAGGCAGAGACTATAGATGACTTTGAAAAGCATAAACAACATATGCCACAGTCTGTCACTCAGGGATTATTAGGTTTATAGCTGTAACTTGTCTAATTACAAAATCACTGTGAAATACAAGGTTTAAGTGAATTTAAAACTAGCAAATGGGAAAACCCATGCAGCCTTTTAATTTTTCTGCAGTTTCTTCATGATCCACTTGTAAGCAGTATATGCTTTAAATTCGGATGCCCATCTACACCGGTATAGGCAAGGTTTTATTGAGGGGAGGGTAAACAGTTCATTTAGGATTAGTTTCAGGAAAGAAATTGTGCCAGAAAATTACAGAAAGGCCAAGTTCAGGCAGTTTTATGCTCAGCTACTTGATATATAGAGTGAATACTAAACTGCTAGATCTTTTCATACAGTGTTGTCATCAGCAATGGTCCTTCCTCTCTCTGTTTTACTCTTCACAGAGATAATGGAGAAGTCAGATTAAAGCAACAAAATCAAAGAGTCAATACGCTATTATCTGAAACAAGCACCTGATTTTTATGGGGGAAAAAATTTGAAGCAGATAAATTCTTACCTTTTTTTACAATAAAAGTAGCCTTCAATTTCTAAGATATCTTGGGGTGCTCCTGCTGTGAGGTTAAGGGCAGCTTTTATGCCAGAAACACATTCTCCTGAAACATTTTGAGACAAGCAAAATCTGACAAACATCAAAAATCAGAACATGGCCTATCTTTCTTTTATTCCTTGTTATTATAATATTCTTCAGCCACAAGGATATCAAAGACTTTTGTGGCAATGGATGCAATTTAGCTGCTCCCTAGAGATGGCTTTAGAGAATGCATAATCAATTTTAGAAATGAGCAGCTGGCCTGCACAGCAAGGTGCACTCTGCGTTTCACCAAAATGAATAATGAATTGCATATACTCTGCACTAAGAAGATTGGCTTTCCTCTCAGAAACTGATATGACTAAGTCTTGTTTGTTTCACTTGTTGAAAGATAAACGAATGCCTGGCTGTTGCTTAGTGTACCCAGTGTTTTTGCGTGGTAGCCAGCCCCAGCAGAGAGAGGCTGTGCTGGCAGGAGGCTCCCAGGCACGGGCCATGGTCAGGCACCCAGGTCAGCAGCTCATGGATGTCGGTCTGCCCACACCCTGTGGATCCTTCACTGGAGTCAGCTATCCGTAAGCCTGAGGCTCCAGCCTTGGACATTATCTTTTGCTGGCCCAACAAACTGATAATCTCAGCTAAATGGCAAGTATTTATTTTTATATTGAACAAAAATATTTCATTGCAGAAACATAAAAACAATTTCCAATGCCACATCTATTTCTCTCAAACTTAGTGATCTCTGTGATCCAGGACAAAAGTTTGCTCAGGCCCAAGGGCATTTTGTTCACTTTCCACTGGCCTTTAAGTCTATAATGTGATTTCTTGGGTCTCTGTGTGGAAATGATTTGTGACTCTCATATTCCCATTGAGAATAACCCATCCATTATATAGCCTCCAGCAAAAGCTGCACAGTGACACATGTTTGAGGTCAGATAGGCTACTGCAATGCTTCAAATGGGCAGGCATGACAGGCCTGCTGCTCCTCACAGGGCACAGAAAGCAAGCCGGAAGAGAAGCAGCAGAATGTGGCAAGTAAGAAACAGAGCATCTTTACAGGGGCACATTCGTACTCAGATTTTTACAGTACATTTTTTTCCTGACAAGAAGTCTCTGAATAAATCTGACTTCAGCTGCCCTACTCCAGCCCCCAGGAAATGTCCTTTCAAAACCAAGTCTTTCCTGAGATTCCTAGGTGTGCCCCATGAGATTTCACTGGCATTTACATTTTCATTTCTTATTATTAGATGTACTTGTAAGACAGCACTAAGGGAACTGTCATCACTGCTAAGAGCTGGCTCCAAGACATCTGTGGGGTTGGTTTTTTTTCTGATCATGTTGGTGTTTTAAGAGAGTCGTGGCAACAGTGGTGGAAGCTGTGCAGGCTATATTCAGCAACAGCATAAGACAGGAGAAAAAGTACACTTGTGGGAGCACATAGGAAGGGTGCTAGGCTTGGTGTTCCATGTGTGCTGCAGGAATTCAGCACACAACACCCATGACATCACTGCGGGCCTGCTCCACCCCTGCACTTTCTAATGACTGAAGCAAAACACCAATCATTCTGTCTGCTCAGCTTTTAAGTCTCTACTACTTTTTTTGACAGTTCAAGCTCCTGAAGATAGAGAGATGCAAAATGAAATGCAGCATCCAGTGGTCTCATTGCATCACTGCTTATATGGTAACTTCCCTCTTTTCACTGCATAGAATACCATAAACTTAGTCAAGACTTGAAGCATCACACCTTTATATGAACCAAAGACAACCACGTGGAGACCTTGGCACATAAGTTCTGTTTCCAGCACTAAGGCCAAGGATAGAAGCCCTGTATGGAATAACACACCACCCTGTGGTCTCCCAACCTTCGAGCAACCATCCAGGATGTGATTAAGGCTCCTGGCTGTTACCAAAAGCTGGCAGGGCTCTGCTGGGAAACAGAACTTTATGCTCCCGACACACCAGCAGCTGCAGTCCCAAGCAAGCACAGCAGCTGCTCTAGCGGCAGCTCCCAAACTGCAGCACTGCCTCCAGTGGCAGCCATCCCAGATGGCCAGGCCAGGCATGGATAAAAAGGCCTGAGCATCCCTCCTCTTCCTCTTGCTGTTCTAGGTGTGAAGACAAGGAGCAGGGACCCAAACTGGGGTTTGGCAGATGCTCCTCCCAGAGCTCTGTCCTGCACATCCAAGGCAAATTTTTGGATCCTGTTTGCCTTGTTTTACTGAGAGTAGCCAGGTAGCCCCTCCACTTCTGCATTCTGCTTCTTGAGTATTCAGCTGTGCTTTTCCTCTGTTCTCAGATCAACTACTGATCTTTTTAACATCAATAATTCACAAAAACGTCATGAAGTACTTTCTTTCTAAGTTCTAAACAAGTTCATTATGTGACTACTAAGTAATTAGTCTTAAAATACATTTTTAGAGGCAGCTGTAGACAAGATCCAATCTGTTACTAAACCTTGAAGATATTTCTTCATGTGGGCAGCTTGCTTTGCTTCAAAAATACTACCACAGCCTCACTAGGAATGAGCCTGCTCTTTCTCTCTTTCTGGCTCGTTTCTGGAGAAATGCTCCAGAATCTAGGACTGTGGAGGGCATTATAGTACTTCAGTGTCACTGACATTCCATGTGCAGCAAGCAGACTTATCTGCGCCCTCCCTTTTGACAGCAAGGTTGTTTTCCAAGGGGAGGCCAATTTGTGTGTCAGAAAACACATTTCCAAGTCTTTTCCTTTTGCTGTTGTGTTCAAGAATAAACAGCACACTGCAGCACGCCAAGTGGAAAAATGACAGGAGGCTGACACATTGTGTGCCATTTGGATCATGTCATGTCACAGAGTCTTGGCTGTGGCAGGACTGCCAAAGGGAATGGCTCCCCAGAAAATCTGGGACTTCACAAGCAGAAGAGAGGAGATCAAGTCCTCAGAAAAAAGGACAGAAATAGTCAATACGGGGTCAAAATAATCCTTATGAACAATATATTTTCCTGTATGGTTCTTACTCCCTTTAGCAAGAATTCTGGATAGATGGCACTAGTTTTTAATTATTATTTAGGGGGGAAACCAGTGAAAGCTAGTAAGAAGCATTATGCAGGACCTGAAAAGAAACACTAGTTTTACTTTCTCAGTAAAATCTTAAAAGGCTGCTCTTTCATCATTCTCTCTGACAGCAGCTGATGTCATGAACAAAAGACTTGGCAGTCACCAGATTCTTCTCTGATTATGTAAATGCTATTACTCACACTAAAAAAAAAAAAAAAAAAAAAAGTTAAAAAAGATGTTAAATTTTCAGATGTTTGAGATATTTAGGGTTTTTTGTTTTTTTGAACAAGAACTCTTTACATACCTATGCCTGTTTATTTGCCTACCTATGCAAATTCTGAGGATCAAAAAGAGCCACCAACTTTTAGATATGTTTAAAATAAATTTTATTTTTGGAAGTAGATGAAGCAGGTTATAACCAGGCAGCTTGGGCACAAATACAGCTATAAAGGAAAAAGGCTGATAGGATAAATAACCTATAGTGCATGGGCAAACTGAGTGATGCACAGGACTGTGAGCCACGGGTAAGAGCTGCTTCTCAAACTCAGTTTTCACGTGTGCAGCTGGTCTGTGTTGTAGGGAGGGCAGGGCAGAGGGGTGGGAAGCCCACTTGTGGCACTTTGCTTTCCAAGGCAGAAGACCCATTTTGCACCAGTTGTATTAAGAAGCTCATAATTAAGTGCCCTGTCAAATTTCCTCATTACCCTGCCTGTGCATGCAGAAGGTCAGTTGTACTCTACTCATTTGATAGTGGGTACATGCGCCAGTGTCTGAGGATTTAGGTGGCTCTGTAGGAAATGTTCACTGTAAAAGCTATAGGAAAATGTTCCAGCAATGTGAAAAAATATGAGTATTGCAATAAGGACCTGCATATCACCTCTTCAAGATGGCATCTCGATGCTGGTGTTAATATTTAGGGCTTTTCTCCAGTGGTCTGCCTGTATCCACCACCAAATCTTTTCCTCCTCAATCAGCAGTTCTGTGCTGAAAGTACTAGTTAATCTTGTGTGAGAGGTTTCTGGTAGGATTAGTTCTTTGTTGATGTTGTTGAGTGTTTGGTTTTTACTTTTGTTTTTAAAGAAGGTAGCCACCAATTTACACAACTATGAGAGGAAATAGAGCAGCAAAATGAAAGTTAAACTGGTATTGAGTTGTAGTCTTTACTAGTAGGGTTTTTTTACTTTACCTAATAAAAATGAAATGTTTTTTCAGTAAGAAATAGGACTCTCACATAAGTCAGCAAGTATTACTTATGCATTAGCAGAGATTATTCAATAATTCAGTGCAATCCTCACAGCTGGTCTTTGAACAGAGGGCGAATAAAGGCAATGTAGTTTTTGCTAGATGAAAAACACATCAGCAGAGCTCTTGTTAGAGCTACAATCACAAAAGACACACTTGACAAACTGCATCCTAACTGTGCTGCCCAAGGAATTCACAGCTGGTTTCTGCGCAAACATTATTCAATCAGGCATTTTTCTTCTGTGGTCACCCTGTGGGCAAGCACAGCCCGGGGGAGAGGAGGCCAGGATGTTACTGCCGGTACCATTCCTTCCCTTCCCATAACTGTTACTTCGCCCCTTGGCACTGCGAGCACATTGAATTTCCTCTCTACTGATTACACAGTAGGCGATGTATCAAAGGCATTTCATTGCTGGGTGTGAACCCTGTCACTGCTCCAGCAGAAAAGGAAGGCAATTAAATTTTCTGAAGGTAGATGGGGTGGGGTTACAGAGCACAGGCCCCCGAAGATCACCCCTGCTCTAAGCCTGCAACAGGACAAGTCTGGAATCATCCATGCAGCATTACAGTGGATGTCCCACCTGCTTCCATTAATCCTCCCCATCTCAGCTGGCTCCTTGCTTGTCATAGTGTCAGAAAATACATGGAAGTTCAGCAGAAAAGTTTGGTCAGACCTCAAAGCACAATGATTTCTGTCTATTTTTCTTTTCCAAAACACAGGCACTGTTTCTCAAAAAACAAGATTTCACTTCAGTCTCTCAATTTGTTTAGTTTATATGTATGTTTATCCTGAAACTCCTCTTTTGATCTCTGCTACAGTGCTTGAGCCATGCAACAGCTGATTATTTCTGTTTGAGAGAAATCCATTCCTACAAGGCACAGGTGTCGTCTTACTACGTATCCATACATACTTTTAGAGCAAATTATTATTAGAGGTGAGCAGGAGGCAGAGCTTCTCTAATTCCTTCCTGTTCAAATGTTAACATTTTAAGTCGAGCTCAGATGACAGGACTATGCTTCAGTGATACTGAGCACAGATGGGAAAAAGAGAGTGCAACAATATAGGCTGAGAAAAATAAAGAAACATTATCTTCCATGTAAATTTGTAGGTTTTTCTCTTAATTAAGCAGGCATGAGCTGTCAGTGTCGCTGTCCAGCCAAAGGGTGATGCCGCTGCGCAAGCAGCACACACTGAATTGAGGCAGGGCTGTCCTGGGAAAGGGTCTCAGCCTTCCCCTGTCCAGCCTCCCTGTGCGGGAGAGGCCAGCCCTTGGGGCAGGTGGGTGCAGTGGGCAGCCAGCTCTGACCATCAGGGCCACCCTGGCTCAGAGCAGGGAGGCGGCAGCTGCTCTCCAGAGGGCGCCTTGGCTTCGTCCATCGCCCCACATCGCACACCCCTCACTCATGCGTAAAACTGCGGGTAGGGATTGCACAGAAATCCAACATCAGTTGCAGTAAAATGCGGCCTCAAAGAACAGCAAAGTGCTTGCAGAAAAGCAAACATGACCAGGAAGAAGTTTTACTGTAAGTATTCTAGGTGTCTTGCCAATTTATAATTTCTTGATCATGAAGATCAAAGCTAAGCACTTTATTTTTCTTTCTTTGTAAGCTTTGGTTCAGAGATGCTTTACAAAAGAGTCAGAGGGGAGAAAAGGCGTGATTCTGCTGTCACTACTATGACACTATTAAATCCACATGGAGTAGTTCAAATATGGAGTAGTTCCCCCTCTGAAAATAGCATTCATCCCCTGAAGCTATAAGCTAAAGACATAACTCTTCCACAGAAGATGCTGTTAAGGTTAAATTGCTTCTGAATTTAGGGAGTTTTGTATCACCTTCACATGTGGTAGCATCCAGGAATTAAGGAGGTTTTGGGTGGGCCCTCCAGTCATGCTGTCACCAGGCTGGCTCTGGGAAAAGCAGTGCCCTTAGCAGGGATCCCAGCCAGGCTGCCTCAGTCAGTGTCTCTCACTGCTGCTGGTGCTGATGAAGCTGCTGAGGTCAGGAGGGTTGTGGAAGGCTCATTTACACCACCAAATGTTCTGCTTTGTATCAGGCAGAACATTCAAACCGTGCATCTGGTAGCTGAGTGGTCTTCTATCTCCAGGTTCCTCTGACTGTCCCTTGCTGTAACTGGAATTGGCCTGGCTGATGACGGAAAGTTATTTCAAGGCTTCTGTAGCCTTCAGACTCATGTTTCAAGACTGGAAAGAACATTACATGTTTCTCTTAGATCCCAGACAAGCCATGACATTGATTTGTCAAGGACCTTTCAAGGCTGCTGATTTGTCACTATCCATGTAACTCCCTACAGGACACATCTGTACCCACCAATTACTGCAAAACATTTTCCTTGCAAACAGGAACCTCCTTCCTTCCCACATCCACGTGCACTTAGACAAGTACCTGAAAGACACAGAAATTTTAAATGTATTTTTTAAAGGGATGTGGATACCATCAACAAGAGTCAACTTTCACAACTCTGCCTTGTTTCAGCATCATTTAAAAGCTCTCAGATGCCCCATAACCACATTGAAAAATCAATTCTACTTTTCTGAGAGTAAAGAGAATCTGCTGAAAAAACCATATTAAAATAAAAAATAGCACCCAAACCACAGTAAGTATGATCTCTCTTTCCTTCCTCCCCTCTTGCTCCTGCTATTAAAATTCTTTTTGAGTACTTATTTAAGCACTTCTTACAGTGTTTAGTCATTCATTATGAAAATTGTCATGTCCTTATGTTCATGGTTTCCCGTCCTGCACAATTAGGAGACATCCATCAACAACATCATAAAACATACACCTGCACTATAATCAAGTCCAATATTAACTGCAACAACCCTTCCAACAAAATATTGTGTGCGTAGTTAGGAAATTTTAAAAGGGCAAATGAGTCTTAAAACCTTTGCTGAAAAACTGAAAGAAAAAGGAAAAAAAAAATCCTGACCACATACACCAGCACCTACATACATAAAACATCAGTTTGAGTCATAAAATGCTCAAGATCTGTCTTACAAAAGAAATGCTCTTAAATATCCCACCATTCATCTTGGAAACTTGTTTTTGAACCTTCTGTGAAGACTAGAAGGTGCTTCTTACCTATTCCCCAATTTATCCTCTCATTTTTTGTGCTGGTATTTTCTTCCATGTCATAAAGTTCTTTTCTTCCAACCCTGGCCAGTTTCCCTTCAAGGTTTGATCCAGCATCATTAAACCACCAACCAAGAACAGCAGAGAACAGTAGTTGAACAGCAGTTTAAAGTATTTTAACAGTAGTTGAAGCTCCAACATAGATAATACATTTCTGCAGTATACATATTGTGCAGGCTGTGGGAATAAATGGCTTGGAGTGTCCTGAACATCTGCTCCCTGAAAGCTGTGTCAAGTGTGAGCTGCAGTGATGGACAGGACAGAGAGCAAGACCTTCTCTGGTGTATTTCACAGGGAGCCTGATGTGTCCTCTCCTGAGGGCCCAGCTGAGCATCCAACCAATATCCCTTCCACAGGTTAAATGGACACAGAAGAGCCAGCCAGTGAGTCTGCACTCCTGCCTTATTATTTTCTGTTTCATCAACTAACCTTTTCCTTTTACATTATGTTCTTTTTCTGGAAAAAGTATTATTTTATGTTACTGCAGGCACCTCATGTAGCAACAGATTGAAACAGATCTTACACACTAAAGGCCCTTTCAGACGTCTTGAAATGGAGATGTTTCAGGGCAAGAGCCCTGTGGCTTTTCAGGGACTGATATTGTCCAGTGAAAAGATTGGAGAAAAATGAGGGTAAAAGTGGGGGTTTCTGCAATGTTTCTCTTTTACCAACCAGTCTTCTTCCTCCTCATGACACAAAACTTACAGCAAAATGGAACTGTATTTTAGGGTACTGCACGGTTGCAATTTGTATACTCAGTAATATCTCTTGTCCAGTTTTGAAAGAGTAACTTTGTTTTGAAAGAAGAAAATGATGAAACATACAAAAACCTCGAGAAGGTTTGCCATCATTGCATGCCACACTACAAAACCTTGAGAGAAAGGAAACCTCCTCTGAACTACCGGGAGCTGCACAACCCCCTTTCCCAGCTACACCTAAAGGTCCCTCTGCAACACTGCCTGCAATGCAGCATCTACAGACCTGTCTGGCTCACAAATGTGGAGCTCTGGTTTTACTTTGACTTCTGCTGTAGCATGCAGAGGCAATATAACAGCCAATACAAGCAAGAAAGACAGGGCAAGGAACATGGACATTCTAGTTTCTTTCATTGTAAAATAGAAATTATCTGGAATGTATTAAATGACTATTCACCTAACCTTTGCTCAGTCTATGGCCATAATGACAAGTAAATTAGGGAAAGAAAAAAAAAGAATAAGTGTTCTGCATAAAATGCCACCCTTCAAGGTGCAAATTATCATGAGTCACTGTTGACTAATCTAAAAGGTCAATTTGCAAAACTGGAGAAGCACATACAGTCTAGAAAAACATGCTGTCAGCTCCTCCAAAACTCAAAGCAGCAATGGTTTTGTCCTATGCAAATCATATAATCCCAATTGTTGCCAGGTTAGTTTCATTCCCTGTAGAAACTCACTCTAAGGCAATAATTAGATTCACACCTTTTAATTGCTTTTTTTCCTCTTTGGGTTAAAAAGGCCAGAATTTTTGCATTTCTGTTGGGAAGGAAAAGAAAGCAGAGACTGAAAAAAAGCCAACCCTAAGAGATCTGTCACTTCTCTCTCAATCCAAGACATGTTCCTGCTCTTATAACCTTTTCTGGGCACACTGAAGGAAGTGTTTCTGTATGATTTGGGAATTGCAAAGACAGATCCCCATATCAGCCACCTTATGGCCAAGGAGAAACAAGGAAAGGAGCTACCACATCTCTGGATTTGCTCACCTCTGCTGGGAAGAGGAGAATGCTGCAGGTCGAGGATGCAAACCAATGTAAAACTCCCTTTCTATAGTCCCAAATCTCTTGCCTCCTTTCTCAGAGAAGTGAACCTCATAATAGAGACTAAGACTAATCAATGAGAAAGCAAGGGGGAAACCAAAGGCAGAGCAAATAAACTGCGGAGGCCAAAAAATAAAAGGGAAGTTCAAAGAGCTAGGGGAAAAAAAACTAAGGAAGAGGAAACAATGAGTCAAATTCAGATGGGGAATGAGGGAGAAAAACTTCACTGTAGTCACTGTTATGGAGGTATATTGCGAGCAAAATTCACAGTCCAGCGACTGCAGGATGAGGCAAAGCTAGTTAATACTGAACTGAACTGAACATCCCCACTGAAATTTAAATGCATCCAATGCATAACACAGGGGCCCATAGCCTCCAGGAACTGTGGAATTAAACAGCTTTATAGTTAACAGATTTCCAGGAAAGACTGCGAGACACTTTTAGGCAGTGAGGGAGCAAAGAACATTTCAAGCCAATAAGTCTTTGGGAAAAGTTTGAGTAGCCAATGAGAAGGACCAGCAAACCCTGCAGAATGATAGATGAAATTCAAAAGGAGCAAACAAAAAAAACCACTCTTGAACTGCTGAAGTTAATTTTTAAATGTGGAATAAGGTGGCTGTCAGATGTTCTGCACCCCTGGTAAATACAAGTGATGCACTTAAAAGTGGATGCTAGGGTTGCCCTGGTTATAGAAAAGTTGTGTGGTCTTAGCACTGTTTTTACATTAATTTCCCCCGTGTCTGGGACCCTCAACACATTGTTTGTTCCAGCACAGCTTATGTTGTCACTGAGAAGGCTCCAGCTATATGGAAACACTGTACAGAATAGTGGGGCATTAGCACTGGGAATTGAAATAGGAAGAAAAAAATATCACACATATTTAAAAACAAAAAAGCTGCATACATTAGAAGTTATCTAATTCCTAGCATAAGTAGGCTGAAATAAATTTTGTTCTAACTTGGTTAGTTCTTGGGTTCTTTGGGATGATCCTTGCAAGAACATAGACAGAAATTCCAGAAAGAAAAGGCTGGAAATCAATGTTAGACAGTAAATACAGTCTAACTGACCTACTAAAGGTCTGGTTTATGTGAAGAAGGAACAGGAAAGCTAATTTTTTTCTCTCTGTATTTGAACCAAGGAAAAACATCCCCTGCTATGCTTGAATTACTCCTAAGTGTTTTCCACTGTCCACTACAAGTTTTCCAGAGCATACTTCATGTCTCCCTGCTCCTGCAGCATTCTTAGGGCAACTCTGGCAACCCACAAAAGTTTGGTTCTAATGTCCTTGCTTTTGAAAATCATCAAGAATACTTCATGCATCAAGGTGTTTCCATTCTGGTTGACAAAGGTATTTGCTAGTTATCCCTCAATATTCTCTTTCCTGCCCACACCTTTCCACATTTCCACCTTCCACCAGGGATAAAACACATTGCACTGTACTAAACACAGAACTATCTCTTAAGAAATTCTGCTTGCTTGAAAATCAAACCAAACAACTAGAGGTGCAATCCTTGGTATCCAACACAGTGATCCAAGAAAAATCTTTTGTCCCTTTCTGAAATCTACAGCATCCCTCACTCTGCTATAAACTGCAGACAAAGGTACCAATCCTTTCTCAGAAATACACAGGAGCATCCTGGAAAAACCCACTGCCTTTTCATCAAGTAGCACAGGTCCTCCCAACTGCAGCACAAATTCTTACTGAAACTGAATTTCTCTGCCAGCTGTTTTCTGTGTAAGAAGCAGCATTCCAACTCCACTTAACAACCAGCTTAAATTTTTTGCTCTGCAGCAAAATGGGCAATCCTATGGAGGATTAAGGAACATTAAGATTTTAAAGTGCAAAATAAGAAGGAAGATCAAAAAGCATAATATACCACTAGCTCGCTTGGAAGAAGAGCTGCCTGTTTTGGACACAGCAAAGGATAAAACCAAGACAAGGCATGGGAAATTAGAGGGCTGGAAGAGGTAAATTTATGCCTGGAAGCACAACCTCTTAACTTTGCCAATAATAAATATTATCTGTGTATCATACAGTGATACTACTTTCTCAGTGTCTGTAGTACCGCTCTGAAGGAGAGATGTACCTTGCAAGGACATTTATCACTTTCTGCTTCTATGAAGTTTTGCTGTCCTAGGTCTTTGCTGTTCCTTGCTCTAGCCACATCAGCAGGACATCCTGTTACAGCAGGACAAAAGTATTAAGGAAAGGCAGCATGTTTTATTCTTGCTAGAGGTCAATACCCTGTTTTAAAAGTTGCAGTTGCATTTTTAGGAGATATGGCTAAAAGTATGTAAGCAATCATTTTTCTGAGGGCAAGGCTGAGTTAATGAATTGACATACTTTTCTGTATTGTCTCTTTACACCATTCTTTGATACAGATATATGACAAATGTGCTCTACAGGGTGTTTAGAAAAAAATTAATGCAGTTTTTCCTCCTCCTTCAAAAGTAGGACTGGTTTCTCTGACTGTGATGGATGTGCTCTGCTTCTGTTTTCCATTGAACCTAGATTGTAAAGGAATAGTAAAACAGCCTTTTTCCTGCATTTGCATCATCCAACAACAGGTCAGAAATGTTGATTTAGGATTTCAAGCACTATTTCTAAGCAGGGTTTGCAACAACAGTTCAGGAATTCCTTGTGTCAAATAACTCAACAGCTCTTTTTTATTTCTTTGCCTCTTAAAAATTGCTTTTATCAGCTTGTCCTCAAATGAAGGCTAGTCTGTCAGTAGTCAGAGCAAACAGGGGGTCTGTTGGAGGTCACTGCACAGAGAGGCTGCACCGAAGGACTTCTGTGCTAAACATCACCCCCAGGGAGCCTGCAATAACTAACAATATCACAGCTGCCTGCGTGTAGTTTAACTTTAATCAATGAACTTTTTGATAAAATTCTGATGCTCACTGGAATGCTGGGGAAAACAAAAAAATTCCACTATATGAAGGCATTATCACTGTTTTGTTATGGAAAACAACATGTGTATGCACATTCCAGGACTTAAACTATGCAGTGACTGTGCCAGTCAGTACATAAAAAGAAAAGCACTTTACAGCATTGTGGGCTGTACAAAGTAGAGGACAATAATATCTGTCACCAAGGCCTACATTTGGGTCAACTTTGGTGAAAGCTTAGTTTTGTTTTGGGTTTGGTTTTGGTTTTGGGTGAAGAAGAGGAGATCAGACAAAGATAGCAGGATTATTCACTGCCCTTGTAGGATTCAATTGTGCTTATTACAAGTGCAAGGACCACCTTCTGCTTCCATTCCTCACACAAAACCAAAGAATTGAGAAAACCCACAGATTTCATTGTTCAGTACAAGCATAAATCTCAGCATGATTATCCAAAAGATAAAGGGATCCTGTCACTGTGGCAGATGGCTCATACATTGTTCAAGGCAAGGATATTACAGGGCTTAGACAAGAGGATCCATATCTTCAAAAACACCTCGAAGCCACCTTAAAAAACAAATTGCAAGACAAATTTACCATTTTACTTCTGATAAAATCCCTTCTTCCTGAAACCAGTATGTTGTTCTTAGGCTGAAGGACAGCATTAGAAACAAATTCAGATATGTAAATCCTACACACTTTATGTTATCTCAAAGTTGTTTCTAATAAGTTGCCAACATCTCAGCTGAAAATTATCATGTACAGCCATCATTTAGTTTAGAAGTTATATGATGTCTCATTAATTGCCTCTGGTTGCTTTTCCCAAGGCAATAATCAATAACCTGTATTTCAATTCACAGGTTTGGTATCCTGAGACATGCAGACACGTTTCAGTGACTCAGCTGGACCTGTGAGAAACAATACGTTTAGTTAGCTTTAGGTGACATATTACTTACACTTGATCAAAATGTGAACTAGGAAGCACCATGAAGTTCAGCTTTAGCACTCACTGCCATGCCCACCAGGGTCATTTAGAGCATTGTGATTTTAGACAAGGACATTAGTGGAACAAGGCATACAGAGGCTGATCAGTCACACACAAGTTTTGAAAACAAGACAGATAACATTACCTCTCAATATTTCAACAATTGCAGTGCTCTGAATTTAAAAGTTCTTGGGTAGTGTGTTTCTGGGCCTGCAGTTTCCTTCTGTGCCTAGGACTGATGTGAGCAGAAAGCTTTAGAGAGGATGTGGTATCCTACATTATCAGTGTAAAAGCCAGCACTATGCCTTACAAAATGTCACTACCTGGTCAAGAGATCCAAAATAACATTTAAGTGGTATCACTGGATTTTTGCTTCTTTAAAATAATTTAGAAATATGTAAAAAAAAAAAAAAAAGCTACAACGCATTTCAAAAACATTTGAAACACAGCATCTCTAGCTTGGAAAAGAAAATGTAGAAAAAATATCCTGCAATCATAGAATATTCTGAGCTGGAAGGGACCCATGAGGATCATCAAATGTAACTCCTGGCCCCACATAGCACCATGCCCAAGAGTCCCACCATGTGTTTGACAGCATTGTCCAAACACTTTGTGTACTCTGTCAGGCTTGGTGCTGTGATCACTGCCCAGGAGAGCCTGTTCCAGTGCCCAGACAACCTCTGGATGAAAACAATTTTCCTGATAGTTAGCACAAGCCTCCCCTGACTCAACTTTAGGGGACAAGACCCATTCCCTTGGGTCTTATCACTGGTCACCACAAAGAAGAGATCAGTGATTGCACCTCCTCTTCCTCTCACAGGGAAGTTGCAACTGCAATGTAAGCCAGTCTCCTTTTCTCCAGGCTGAACAGATCAAGTGCACTCGGCCTCTCCTTGTATGGCTTCTCCTTGAGGCCCTTTACCATCCTCATGGCCCTCCCTTAGACATTCTCTAGTATCTTTATATCTTACATGGTGGTACCCAAAACTGCCCCCAGCACCTTACATGAGGCGGGCCCAGAGCAGAGTGGGACAATCCCAGCTAGTGATGCTGGGCCTGATGCCCCCAGGACAGGATTGACCCTCCTGGCTGCCAGGGCACTGCTGACTCAGATCCAACTGACCATTGACCAGGATTCCCAGGTCCGTTTCTGTGCTGCTTTCCAGCCTCTTTTCAGCATCTCCCAATTGAATGGGACCAAGCTTTAATTTACCTTTGAATCCTGTGTCTAAGTTTTTTATGAAGATCTGAAGAGCACAGGGATGAGGATGGAGCCCTGTGAAACCCCACTAAGACACACGTCACCAGTGTGATTTCACTCCATTCACTGTCGCTTTTTGTGCCTGACCTATGAGCCAGTTACTCACCCATCACTTGATCTGTTTATCCAGCTGTGGGCTGGGTGTTTTGTGTTCTGGGTGTTTTGTCCAGAAGGGTCTTGGAAGAGACAGTATTGAAATCTCTGTTGAAATCCGAAAGACTGCATCAAAACTGCATGGTTTCCCTTGAGCCCCATAGGTGGGTTACTTTGTCACAAAATTAAATCAGATGCAACCAGCAGAACTTTCCCCTCATAAAGCCATGCTGGCTGTGGCCAAGAGCTGCATTGTCATTCAGGCATTTTTCAGTACCTTCAGGAATAATTTTCTCCATAATTTTACCAGTGACACCACTGAATGTGTGACTGACAGGCCTGCAGTTTCCAGGGTCATGCTTCTTGCCCTTCTTGAAAACTGGGACAATGTTCACCAGTTTCCAATCAACTCAGACTTCTACGGATTCCCAGGAATGTTCAAAAATTATTGAGAGAGGCTCATGATGACATCAGCAGCTCTTTGAGTATTCCCAGATGAATCCCCATCAGGCCCCATAGATTTGCAGGGATCCAGCTGGAGCAATGGAACCTGCACAGGCTCAGGGCCAGCTGGGAGTTTGTCACTCTCACAGTCGGGGTCCTCCAGCTCAGGGCACTCGGACCCCCTCAGCCCATCAGCACTGTTGGAGACAGAGGCAAGGACAGCATTAAACACCTCTGCCTTGTCTCTGTCCCTGTTCAGGAGGTGACCACCCTTGGCCTGTGATGGGAAATGTTACCTCAGCACTGCCTTTTCTCTTCAGCTATATAAAAAAAGCTCTTTTAACTGTACCTCACAGTTCTGGCAGCTTTAACTGCAGTATTTTTGGTTGCATGAATTTTGTCCCTTACCAGAGTATCTCTGTTTCCCTCCCATGTCTCCTGATTTTGGCCACACATTTCCTTTTTCTTGCTTTAGCTTCAAAAGACCCCTGCTCAGCCAAGCCAGCCTTCTGCCTCACTTGCTTTACTTACAACATTTTGGAATTGCCTCTTCCTGTGCTCTTAGAAGGTGGTGCTTTAAAAGTGACCAGCACTCATAGCCTCCAGCACCTTCAAAAGCATTTTCACAGGCATCCTTACAGGTTCTCTGAGCAGCCTGAAGAAAATATGATCTACTGAGACTGCATAGTGTCATCAAAAATCTGGATAGCATGAAATGGAGATCTATTTAAAAGTTAATCAGCTTACTTCAGCTTTTAAAGTATTTTAGCTTTCTCATCAGAATAAATGTGCAATTATTAATAAGTCAAAATTTCAGCCCAAAACATACAGGGAGCTCTGCAACAATAATTAGTTTTTGATAGTGCTAAACTCCAGAGAGGGGAATGAACCAATTAATATGAGGTGGGAGATAAGGGACCTGAAAGAATTGGAGGCAGTAAGTGAAGGGAGGAAGCAGTTTTGCATTATTTTTTTAAACAACACCACCAATGTGGTAGTGTGTTGTTAAGTTTCTTGTGTTATTCCCCCAATTTATGTATTGTTCTCCCCTATTATGTGTAAAATGGTTTCGTTCCCCTTTCTTTCCCG